GTGTAGCTGCTGATCATAAAGACATATAGTCTTTACCTATGCTTATTACTAAATCATGATTTATGATATATCCTAGGCCCTGTATATTGATGTAGTGGTGTAGCTACTGATCATAAAGACATACGGTCTTTACCTATGCTTATTACTAAATCATGATTTATGATATATCCTAGGCCCTGTATATTGATGTAGTAGTGTAGCTGCTGATCATAAAGACATACGGTCTTTACCTATGCTTATTACTAAATCATGATTTATGATATATCCTAGGCCCTGTATACTGATGTAGTAGTGTAGCTGCTAATCTTGATAAAAGCTTTCAGAACAGAGCACAGTTGTACCAACTTCCTCCCCAAAGTGTCAGAATGTTATTAGATGACCTAGCTATCCGCTTATGAGGTGGTTACTTCATAATAACATCCAACGAGATACTAGGAGGGTCAGGCTTAGCATGGTCACATTAAGTGGTGAAATATTTCTAGTACTCAAGTAAATCAATTAATCAGTGAAGTCATTATCTATACAATCTGCCAGACTACCACAAAACAAGCTTGCTCAATTATGGTCAGTGTATCCCTTGCTATTAAGAAAATACCACACAGTTTAATAAACTGAATTTATTAGTGATAAAAAAACCTAAAGAAATAAGAGTTCATATTTTCTTATGCTGAAAATGTATTTCCAATAGGTACTTACCTCCTCTAACACAAAGATATCTTGATCCTGGTTTGCCCTGTTAGCATTTCTGAAAAATATTTTTCCTAACAGCGCACCAGACTTTTATACCCCTTCATTTTCATGCCATTTCAGAACATTTGCTAATCATGTGACTACTCTCCACCAATCCTACTGCGCCATCTATACCAGTTCAGCTAGGTACCTCTACTATTTTAGCTCAATGTTCACTTTCGAGAATTGGCAGATACAAACTATAAACAATGGTATATCAGTGGAGAGGAAGGGGTGGGAAGTGGGTGAGAGAAGGCAAATACCTATTGGAAATACATTAGTGTTTGAAAATTTTAACTTATGAAACAGTACTACCTTGTCTCACCCAAAGATAGAATCCCACATTGCAAAAGTGGAGAGGGACAGTGAATTCACAAAAGTAATCAAACAAGTGGAAAACAACCACCTTGAAAAAACAGGTATACCACAATTATAAAAGGAGGCACACCTGTGGGGTATAGCACCAGTTCTGAAACAGGTATGCTCTTCACCCAGTAACGAACAAAGTAAGACACATAGGGTGGAACTTAATAGACAGGCACCATGTCGTGTAAGACAGAGTCTGCCAGGGGACAACAGATAGTACGTAAGACGTCCACATATGTAACAAGCATGAGTACATGACATGAAGGTGTCTGTAATTTGATATAAGAATACGTGGCTAGGGCTAAAGGACCATATCTGAATAGTGCAAGAGCATTCCATCCAGTGCGGTCCATCTGGACAAAAAAAAACAGTGGAAGCAGTCTGCTCAGGCAAAACAAATCCAGAGGAAGTGCATTATGCCAAGTGCAGTCTGCCCAGGCAAAAAACATCCAGAGGAAGCACTTTGGGAGATGTCAGATTATGCTAAGTGAAGTCCATCCATGCAGTCCAATCTCAACTGAAAGCATCCACCCCCAGAGCTAGGGGTGAGGAACTGAAGACCAAAAGGAAGGAAGTTTGACATTCCAGTGAGTGGCAAATGCATATATATGTTGAGAACACACCCACAGAAATACCTGAGGATGAAGAGACCACTCAGTAGGGAGAACCTGGTTGGGATAAAATAGCTGATGACAGTGGAATTGTCAGAATGAACCATAACCATCTGCCCCCACAGGAGCAGAAGGAAATGATACATAGCCCAATGAACTGCCAAAGGGCCCAGGATGTTGATATGGAGAGTAGCCTCCTCAACTGACCACTGATCTGAAATCTCTAAGGGATCAAGGAAAGCCATGCAATCAACTAAGGAAGCATCTGGTAACAAATGAGATTTGGGATGAGGCAGAGGAATAAAAACCCCACCATGGTCAAGTCCCTATTGAGCCACCAAGCAAGGTCGGCTCTGATCCCAGGTGGAAGAGTGATGGGATGGTCCAAGGAATCAGCAGAGAAGTTTCATTGGTCAAGAAGCATCCAATGAAGGGAATGCACATACACCCAATCCAAGGAAGCCCACATCCCCAAAAGAGATAGAACCTCTCATATAGTGAGATAAGGAGAAGGTAGGGTCTTCGTGACTGCCTGTTCCATATCCTGGAGCCGAAGTGGAAGAAGGCTGTGCCAAACCGAGATAGGAATTTAACAGAACTCCCAAATGAATAGAATACAACATGGAGGTAGTAAAGAACTTCTCCAACTTGATGAGAAACCTCACCCAAGAAGCTTCTTGAAAAAGTAGGAGGATGTGAGTGGCTAATTGGGCACAGGAAGAGGCAAGCAGTAGTCAGTTGTCCCTGTAATGCTAAGTCCAAAGACACAGCAGGTAAAGATGGCATGCAAAAAAGTGTACAACTCGACAAAATACACACAAAGCTGAAAAAAATACCAAACAGCAGCACTCAGAACTGGAAGACAGAACCCTCATGGACGAACTGAGGAAAACGACGTAACACTGGGGCAATTGGAATATGAAGATAGGCATCTGTCACATTGAACTGGGTCATCCAAAGTTCCAGGAAATAAACTCACTGAAGTGAGAGGTAGGACTCCATGGTGAATTGAGGTGTCTCCAGATAGGTATACACCTGGAACAGATCTATGATGTATCTCCAATCTCTTGTGTTTTTGGAGACAACAAATAGATGGGAGTAAAATCCCAGTTAAGTGAGCACCACCTGTCTGATAGCTTTTTTGTGTAGGAAGTGTCAAACAGACTCATCAGGACAACTAGACGAGTTACAATACCAAGGAAGAGGGAAGGAAATCTGGGAAGTGAATAGGGGGGGGGGAGCAGAACTGAAGGCAGAAACCTTCAGATAGAACCCATATAACCCACAGAACTGTCGTGAAGTGTAACCACAAAGACACAAACTTAGAGAAAGCACTCAATACTAACAAACTAACAAAACTACAAAGTACATAAAAATAAAAACCTGGAAAACTATGAAATTCGACCTAAACCATAAAACAATAAGCAACACCTAAAATACAAAACCAATAAAGGAACGTAGAAGGTAAAAGGCCCTTAAATATTGAACATATATGACAAAGAACATGAAAGTAAAACCTACCCTGGAGAACATGAGAATAAAGAGGCAATAACAAATTTTGACTCAAATCTAATCCCCAATTAGATGCGACTAGTAGTAAGGAAAAAGGAACTTACAAACTAAATAACATAAATAGTGAAAAGAAGTAAAAATAAAAAACCTACAAACTTACAAAATTAGCCAAAAGTACAATTGCCCAAACAGTAATGATCATGCAAAACCAGTAAATATACCAAAATTAAACAAAAACAAAGTAATAATCAAACTCTAAACACAAATTGAAACTTAAGTAACTTAGATGGTAAAATAACTATAAAAATCTAACTTACCAAATACTGAGCATGGAAAACATGATAGACCTAAATTATCAAGTGCGGAAATTAAATTCATCCACACAAGCACACATAAACTCACTAAACATGGGTATACCTACTGGGAGTGAGGAATACACACTGAAAAACTTACTACAGATCTCCTGGGAAATAGAACAATGCCTAACCCAGGGGATTACATGAAGGCATGGTAACAGGTGGAAAGTGCCCTTGAAAGAAATTTCCATACAATAGTTATATCCTTCCTCACAAAAAAATTGCAACCATAAAAGGAAGTAAATGGCAGCCAAATGTAAGACACAAACTCCCCATGAACCAAAGCCTGTGCTTCCCCAGCAGAAATCATCAACCCTGAGACCTGGGAACTCGTGTTAGAACGACTTTCTACTAATGCAGGAATTTCATCATCTGCCATATTAAATCTCAAATTCATGTGAACAAATTAGAATTCAGAAAACAGAAATATTTCTACAACAGATGAGTAGAAACAATGTAAATCAAACACAAGAAGTCGAAAGTTAAAGTTGAAATTGTTGTAAACTTGTGATCAAGCACAGTCAAAATGTTGTAGTCACATAGAGAATGAGTTAAAAAACACGTCTATACACTAGAATGCCAATCAAGAAAGTGAAGATTGTGCAAGAATAGTAGAAGGAGCTAGCTGTGCTAATATAGATGATGCAGTATGATTGTTGGAGGGTAGTCACATGATCAATAAGTTGTGAAATGGCATGAAAATGAAGGGATATAAAAGACTGGTGAGCTGTTGTTGAAAATTTTTTAGCACTACTTAGAGGGCAAACCAGGATCGAGATAGCTCTGGGTGACAAGAGGTGGTACCATTTCTAAAAAAGAAAAATATGTATTTCTATAAAAACTGGTTTATTATTATTATTTTATGATACATTCCATATTTAATTATTATACTTGCAATGAGCAGTGGGCCCTAGACAACTGCCCCTTTTGCCCATTGGATAAAATAGTCCTGATTATAGTAGACTTCATGCCAAATCATACCTTTAGCTTCATACCCCAAACCAAACCCATACAAAAATTTATTACTGGATTTGAACGGATCTTAAAAATTATCCTTGAAATGAAAAGAAAGGAGAAAAAATGTAAATCGACTGAAGATTCTCATCTCTGTTAACAAGCAACTGTGAAACATATAATATTACTTAAGCACTTCAACACCTAAGGGATCATTCAGTTTGTTTAACTCTTTTAATGTTTCATTTTAGTACACTAACTATATTAGTCATATTTTTTTTCAAGAGTAGAATTAGTTTTTTAAAGCATTATGTAGCTTAATCAGAATATAAAAGGGGGGGGGGGAGCAATGTGGTCTGATATCAGCTAGCATAACTTTCTGGGCATTACAAAGTAAACACTAAAATGTATTTTCTTATTATTGTTTAAGATTAAACACAGGCTGAAATATTCAGAAACTTGTACTACTTACAACACCTGTTTCTTCAAACCTCTTTTTATCTGCACTATCAATAACGTAAATCTGTAAATACAGTAATAACAGGAATTTCTCACATCAGAGACAAAACAATTATACTATTATCTTATTATACAGAACACAGACACAGTTTGATGTACCAATAGATTTCATGTCAAATACAACTGAGCAGTATTTCCATGAGATCGAACTATAGCCATAACAGCATTTAAATTATCTGTGTCAATGCATATATATATATATTCTTTACTGTATGTTTTTCCTACAGTTTCTTTAATCAGATCCCTGCTTTAAAAAGTATTTCATATTACTAAAACATAATTTAAATTATATTTAAAAACATTAAAAGTTATATGTAAGCTAGGAAACAAGTACAATAAAAAATACATCTTAAAACTCTTTCTGATATACTTCAATACCTGTTCCAAGTATTCAAGAAGATTCCATACAAGTCTTTACTCAGGATCGTGTAACTTAGGTTACAAAGTATTAATATAAAATCATTTTATTATATTAACAGCAACCATTATATAACACAATGTTTCATCTCTGAGACATTTTCAAGTATGAGATAATTTTATTGATATGAAAGTGCACAACGAAGATTGATTTCAACCTCAAGGCATTATTCAGAAGTAATGGTTTCTATATTGTTTATGTTTACATTTGAAAATATCTAATATAAAGATAAAATCTAAGAAGTATGAGGGATTCAAAAACTTTGTATAATCAAATAACTTTGTTCAGAATCAAACATATGTAACTCAGATTAACACACACACGCCTCCTTGTAACAATTTATTGATTTCCTACTGAATCTATTTGAGTGTAAACAAGATTTCTTAAATCTCACTACTCAGAATCAGATAATTCAGATTAACATTCACCTTTTTGTGACAATTTAACAATATTCTACTGATTCTATTAAGAATAAACAAGTTCTCTTAAATCTAAATATTAAGAAGTAGATAATTCAAATTAATATATTTTCTTGTGAAAATTGTTGATTTCCTATTGGTTCTCTTATGAGAAATCAAGAAAGTACTATAAATATTAATACATGTGACAATATTGTGGTAATCTTTACTTTTCTATTGACCCTACACAAGGTAATGAAAGTCTCCTAAGGTGCTTAGAAACAAGTAGTTCAGACTGATACAGCTAAAGTTAAAGTACATACAATAAGTTGTTACAGCCAGGTAACTACAGACATCTGTTACATACCAAAACATCTGTATTTTCAAAGTAATTTCTCCAATATGGTCTAATTTTTCTTTGTCCACCAATGTCCCAGACATTTAGCTTGAGTCCTTCTGACTGAACACTCTTAATGTTGAAACCCTGGTTTAAAAACAAAATAAATGAAGCCAAAATAACTATAAATGTCTGTTTGTTATTGTTATTATTATTATTTCAGTTTGGTATGAGCAGTGTAGTACAATTGGGCAAAAACAAACAGATTATTTAATTCTATCACTAAATCTTTATTGGAATGACATTTTTTTTTCAGGGTAGAAACTTGCATTAGTAGTATGTATACACACACACACACACACATACACACACATATATATATATATA